AAAAAAGTCAGAATTGCGAGATGTAAACGCAAAAATCAAAGAAAAAAGTCAGAATTGCGAGATGTAAACGCAAAAATCAAAGAAAAAAGTCAGAATTGCGAGATGTAAACGCAAAAATCAAAGAAAAAAGTCAGAATTGCGAGATGTAAACGCAAAAATCAAAGAAAAAAGTCAGAATTGCGAGATGTAAACGCAAAAATCAAAGAAAAAAGTCAGAATTGCGAGATGTAAACGCAAAAATCAAAGAAAAAAGTCAGAATTGCGAGATGTAAACGCAAAATTCTAAGAACAAAATCATAATTGCGAGATTTAAACACTAAATTCTTAAAAAAAGGCAGAATTGCGAGATTTAAACGCAAAATTCTAAGAACAAAATCATAATTGTGAGATTTAAACACAAAATTCTTAAATCAGAATTGCGAGATTTAAACTCAAAATTCTAAGAACAAAATCATAATTGCGAGATTTAAAAACTAAATTCTTTAAAAAAAGTCAGAATTGCGAGATGTAAACGCAAAATTAAGAACAAAATCATAATTACGAGATTTAAACACTACATTCTTAAAAAAAAGTCAGAATTGCGAGATTTAAACTCAAAATTCTAAGAACAAAATCATAATTGCGAGATTTAAACACTAAATTCTTTTAAAAAGTCAGAATTGCGAGATGTAAACATAAAACTCTTTAAAAAAAGTCAGAATTGCGAGTTGTAAACGCAAAATTCTAAGAACAAAATCATAATTGTGAGATTTAAACACAAAATTCTTTAAAAAAAGTCAGAATTGCGAGATTTAAACGCAGAATTCTAAGAACAAAATCATAATTGCGAGATTTAAACAAAATTCTTAAAAAAGTAAGAATTGTGAGATGTAAACGTAAAAATCTAAGAACACAATCATAATTGTGAGATTTAAACAAAATTCTTAAAAAGTCAGAATTGCGAGATTTAAACTCAAAATTCTAAGAACAAAATCATAATTGCGAGATGTAAATGCAAAACTCTTTAAAAAAAAAAAAAAGTCAGAATTGCGAGATTTAAACTCAAAATTCTAAGAACAAAATCATAATTGCGAGATGTAAATGCAAAACTCTTTAAAAAAAAAAAAAAGTCAGAATTGCGAGATTTAAACTCAAAATTCTAAGAACAAAATCATAATTGCGAGATGTAAATGCAAAACTCTTTAAAAAAAAAAAAAAGTCAGAATTGCGAGATTTAAACGCAAAATTCTTTTAAAAAAGTCAGAATTGCGAGATGTAAACGCAAAAATCTAAGAACACAATCATAATTGCGAGATTTAAACACAAAATTCTTAAAAAAAGTAAGAATTGTGAGATGTAAACATAAAAATCTAAGAACACAATCATAATTGTGAGATGTAAACGCAAAATTCTTAAAAAAAAGTCAGAATTGCGAGATGTAAACGCAAAAATCAAAGAAAAAAGTCAGAATTGCGAGATGTAAACGCAAAATTCTTAAAAAAAAGTCAGAATTGCGAGATGTAAACGCAAAAATCAAAGAAAAAAGTCAGAATTGCGAGATGTAAACGCAAAAATCAAAGAAAAAAGTCAGAATTGCGAGATGTAAACGCAAAAATCAAAGAAAAAAGTCAGAATTGCGAGATGTAAACGCAAAAATCAAAGAAAAAAGTCAGAATTGCGAGATGTAAACGCAAAAATCAAAGAAAAAAGTCAGAATTGCGAGATGTAAACGCAAAATTCTTAAAAAAAAGTCAGAATTGCGAGATGTAAACGCAAAAATCAAAGAAAAAAGTCAGAATTGCGAGATGTAAACGCAAATCTATCTATCTATCTATCTATCGTTCTATCTATCTATCGATCTATCTATCGATCTATTGTTCTATCTATTGTTCTATCTATCTATCTATCTATCTATCATTCTATCTATCTATCTATCTATCGTTCTATCTATCTATCGATCTATCTATCGATCTATCGTTCTATCTATTGTTCTATCTATCTATCTATCTATCTGGATGAAGTGAAGTAAAGTGGATCAAAACCTTTCATCAAAGTTGTCCTAAAACCAAAACAATACCCGTTCTTGTCTTAAAACGTATATACAATTGTAGAAATAAAATGTTGTTTTACAATGTAATTCATACAATGCCGTTCAAAAGTTTGGGGTCCGTAGAATTTTTTAATGTTTGTGAAAAAATTCTCTTCTACTCTGCATTTATTTGATCAAAAATGCAATAAAAATTGTGAAATGTTATTATAATTTAAACTGTTTTCTTTGTGAATATCTGTTAAACTGTAATGTATTTCTGTGATGCGCAGCTGTATTTTCAGCATCATTACTCCAGTCTTCAGTGTCACATGATCTTCAGAAATCATTCTAATATGCTGATTTGCTGCTCGAGAAACATTTCTGATTATTAAAAATGTTGAAAACAGTTGTGCTGCACGATATTTTTGTGGAAAAAGTTACATTTTATTTTTCAGGATTCACAGTTGAATAGAAAGTTCAAAAGAACATCATTTATTTGAAATATAAATCTTTTGTAACATTATAAATGTCTTTACTGGCATTCATGTAATGCGTCACTGATGAATAAAATATTAATTTCTTTCAAAAAAGAAAATCTGACCCCAAACTTTTGAAACTTTTAAACGTTTTGTAGTGTTTATATATGGTCAGCAGACGTTGTGTACCGTGTTTGTTCACTAACTGATGTATTTCCTGTTGATGAATTAGCTGGAGATGATTGCACCAATAATTATGGTCGGGATTTAGACTGGTGCAACTACAAAGTGCTCAATTCTGCAACCACATCTTATTAGCTAATACATCTTCAGTTGTTAAGTTTTGGCTGATCACAGGACATCATGTGGAGTTGTCTTTATTGATCTGGTTCATTGTGTTGGGCTCAGTAATGCTGTATTCAGCAGATAACGTGTTCTTCAAACGCAGTCCGATACAGGAGCACTCAGCTTTCTGATCGACTCGTGTGCGTCCCAACACTGCCTGATCAATGCTGATGTGGCTCCTCTGACGAGTGGAGATTACAAATGAGTTGTATGTGTAGAAATGCTTATGGAAGCTTGTTTCAACCACAGAATATAATATGAAAAAGGTCATTACGACTTTATCTCACCATTCAGATTTTTTCCCCCAGTGTTTTGATTGCGAGATGTAAATGCAAAACTAAGAAAAAGGTCAGAATTGCGAGACGGAAATGCAAAACTCAACGGAAAAAAATCTAAATTGCTAGATACGAAACTAAGAAAAAAGTCAGAATTACACAAAACTGTACGAAAAAGTGAGAA